TCTCGACTCATCCCTTATGGGTATAATTGGAGATCATTTAGTCCCCAACCCATCTCTAACGGGTACTATTAACGATTTAATGATATGTACGCACTTAGTCAATGAGATTTCATGTGCGGCGTTGGCACACAGAGAGAGTATTCGTCTAACCAAACTGAGCAACCCGGTTCGAATCTCAGCTGGCGCAAATTTTTATTTTTATTTTTTAAAAGTGACTAGTCGCTGTTTATACCCTTTCGGGTATAAAGGTGAACAATTAGTCTCTTCATAGGACATGCTCGAACAAAATCGAGCAGTTCATTCCATATAAAGAGATCAAAAGTAGTATTAGTCGCATGTTCCTTTGCGATTGCTCCCGGAGTCATCCCGGATTAGTCCCATTTTTTGCAGGGTGTCTATAAGTACATACATATGCCCATCAGTACATCAACGAAGCCCGTTTGCTTCATAATAAATATATCCATACAAACAAATGTACATATGTACGAATGGATGTAGTTACGCGAAGCACGCTTGCATCATTTATACATAGATATATTGCAGAGCTGAAATGCGCAATGAGTTCGTTCATACATACATATATATGTATACATACATACGTGCATTCAAACATACATATATACAGTATATTTTGCTTAGCTGCACATCCTTCTTTGCACGAAAAACTTGTGCACTTAACCGAAAAAGGCACTTAAGCGATTTTTTTTTTACTACTTCAATGAGGAAGGTATCCAAATCCCTATGAAACCAAATAATGGAGAAGCACTTACCACGTAGAAATTACTGCAAGCGAAATTTTTACCGAATAGTATCTAATTATCTATATAACTACATAAATTGATAGCCATTTTCGTTGTTCCTCGAGATGAGCAAAATAAATAAAAGATTGTAAAATTAGCTAATTGTAGGGTTGGTGCAGGTAAACGTAATACTTTCTTTGATAATTGATACTAGTTGCACAATTTTTAAGGCAGGTATCGCCAATGTGCAGGTATGTTGAATGCATCTATCGGAGCATAAATGTTTAAAATAATGCCTCTGATGCAAATTTTGGGGTAGGTATCTTAAATGTGCACTTAAGCATAAAGGCAGCAAAGCAAAATATACTGTACATATGTAGGTACTCGTACCCGTCATGCGTCGCTTTATTTCTTATTTCCCCTTCCCTATACTACCTATATCTTCCTTCTCACTCATGTAACGTTTTCAGTTTTAAAAATTTCACTCTCCATTTTTGCGATACCGCCGCCTAAGAAGTTTCACTTCAAAAACATTTTTTTACAAAGAAATTCGAAGTTTCTGAGAATTGCCCATATAATTATATGCATTTTGGAAATCAAATTTTAGATTCGTACCCAGTGACTCCGAGAGTTCTTAGGAATCAAATTTCATTACAATCTATAATTATTTAAAAAAAAGTCGTCGGTCATATTGGATCCACAATTTTGAATTTTGAAAATTTAATACCAGCTTCGAAATCACCGACGACGAATGCCCCTGGATACCAAGTTTCAAAACAATCAATAATTTAAAAAAAAGTAGCCCACAATATTTGATCCGCCATTTTGAATTTTCAAAAATTTAATATATATTTCGAAATCAGTGATAACGAAAACCCCTAAATACCAACTTCCATTGAAATCTGTCAAATACATATTAAGTAAACATTTTTTTCATCCTATATTCTCGATTCGTCCCTATGTGCGGCGGCGACTTTGCCGATCACTTACAATAGGTTTGTCCCGCCATGTCCGCTATGTCCATGATAAATTTAAAGTGCGATGTTATAGGTCGATTTTCGCCAAATTTTGACATTTTTGCGCGCTTGTAAGCGGTTTATTGTCCCGCTAAATAAGTGTACGTGATAAATTTTTGACATCGTCCAATGTTAATTGATAACCACACAAATGCCCAACGACGATAAAATAAGGTTATTTTTAAATTTTTTATTACACAATGTTAACCCTCCTGACACCAAAAGGTCCCACGGTGCGATGTAAGTGTTGTTGTTTGTTAATCTACAGCAGTAAATTTAAGTCCCCGATATGTTGTATTTGACGATAAAATCGGCACATTTTTACTGTCGCTAGCTGCCGGACTATTAGATACATTGTGGAAATACACTTTCAAATATTTCTTTAAATTTTCAGACGTTAAGTTTTTGGAGACTGGTTTGGTTTCCGTTGAAACAAAACGACTACCTCAATTAGATATAACTAATTTATTTCTCTATGTACCAACTTACTTGGTTTGTTAATCTCCGTTTTGCAGAAAATTTATGTTAAAATCACAGTTTCGATGAAGACAATTTTTTTTTTTTTTACCGAATTGTGCATAACCTCCACCACATCGGTTTACTCGTAACCTTCAGACACCTTTTTTATTCATAAAGGCAGCGTAAACTTAACTCTTTAATGACAATGTTTTTTTTGTAATAAATAATCGAAATTCGCAATGAAAACGAGATTTTTATTAAAAGAATCGATCGATTGTAATTCGGCGAACAGGTATTTACTTACTGTAACTTCTAGATACATACACTCATATAATATTTAAACGCAAAGTGTACTCGTGTTAAAAGAAATACGGCTATTATTTTAAGTTTTTATATACATTTTTGTACTAGATGCGAAAGAAAATTTATTACTGTCAAAAATATGTATATGTACATAAAATCTTATATATATACTTTTAGGGTTACGAAGATCTAAAAGGGACTGCGAAAACTTATCAGAGGTATTATGGTGATATTTTGACCAAGAATTATAACAACTCATACTACAAGGTAACATCTAAAAAAATTACATCAAAAAAGAATTTCCCATTAATACTACATTTTTATTAGTTTCGCCACACGAACACACAGCGCACTACCGAAAGTTTCAAGGCTTTCGTTGAGGGTCTTTTTGGCCAAAATAACAACATACAGCCGGAGCCAATCCCTGAACAAGACCTTCTTTTGCGGCCTTATGACTATTGTGAATCATGGCGAGCACATGACTACAGTTCTGAAAGCAATAAATTTAAACACTCCGCCATCTGGAATAAAACCATTGCGGATATCTCAAAACGATTGGGGTATGATAATCGCTTTCCGATAATTGTCTTGTTTCTAAGCGTTAAGTTAAAGTAAAGTACGCAAGTAAAATTCGTTGTCTCGAAACCCTCAAGTAGCACTCTAGATAAGTCTTAGTAAGTATGTACATGTACTACGTAGTATATGTACATACTTTGGTATTTCCAAAACACTTAAATTGTTTCCCCTACTACTTTACCAGATGTCAAGGCTAAAGTAAACAAACAGTATTCAAATGTTCGATTCTTTACCGCCATTGCCATACATCAGCAGTTAAGTAAAATAAGTCAGGTGTAGCAAACAATAGTAGGGTACGTTTTCAAACAGTGCTGATTAATGCGTTTTTAGTTTTTATTCATTTACCATGATCGAACGAAATCGATGGAGGTTTCAGGCTTCGGTGGTCAGAGGTGGGCAGCCTCGGCTGAGCACTTTTGTAGTGTGCGTGCAATTGATGCCACTGTGTGCGTGCGAACAAGCCCAGCAGAAATCGGTTGTATGCATTGTATCAAGTAGTAGGCATGCTGTATGAGTGAAAAAGTGTGAACAATTCATGAGCGGCTATGATTTTCCAATAATAAGTCAAATTTTGGCGAACTGTAAGCGAACGTACTTTGTTGTTTTAAGTACATTTCTCTATAAATTTGACTACTATACATACGGTGACCATATTTATGAGAGCCGAATACGGGGCAAAAAATGATTTTGCAACTTTTTTCCACACTGTTTTCCCTAAAACATTTGTTAAAAAGATTCGTTAAATTTTAGTTAAAGTGGAATTTTAAGTCGGTAAGGCTTACCCCTAATTTTTGGCATTTTTTTTTTTGTTGACGGTGTTACGTATTTTTTTCATGCAAAGTAAGTATGTTCGACCTTTTTTTTAAGAGAAGCAAATGAGCAGCACTTTCCACTCGCACTTTATTATGCTCAATTTTAATGAGTTAGGTACAAAACTGCAAACCAAATTTTTTTCTAAAGATTCTAATTAAAAAGTTCGAAATTTTGGCGAAACATTGCAGAGTTAGTTTGAAACCGTTTTCGTAATTTAATCACTAAATTTAGAGTCTGCTTGCGGTCTTATTATTCATATTTTTTTAATTTTATGTTTTAACCTTTTTGACCGCAAATATCGTAAATAAAAACTTAATCTATTTTTTAAATCAAAATTTTTAATTTTTTTTATTATTTTATTCTTATTTTTATTTTTTATTTTTTTACCGATGCATTTCGGTTGGCAGCTGAGCAACCATAATCAGCCAGCGTCAAGTGAACACTAATCAAAAAGTCAAAGTAGACAGTGAAATAGAAACATACTAGTAATAATCCCCGAAAATCGGGGTGCTCGTGGTCTAAAAATCTGGATATTTCTTTATTCTAAAAACCACAGGCATTGCTTTTGGTATTTAACTTTAACTTTGGTATTTTGGCAAGATCATACTCTGCTCAATACGTATACAAATTATTATTTTTATTGCGGACGCTACATTAATTTTGAATTGGCGACATTTAAATACAAAAGCAAGTGTAGATTCGCCGGGCTGTTAATTTATATGGGATAGTATAATTCGAATCACATGTTTAAAGTCTATTAACTAACCCTTTATGTGTACATATTTAGGTTGTGGATTAGCATCACAACTGCTCTAACTTTTAGTATGAAGTCATGAGGTGGAACTCCCCTACTTCTACTTGCTTCTGTGGATATTCAGGAACGACAGTAGATATCGACGCCATTTCTACTCCGGACAACATATTAACCATTTCTTTATTAACTATCGTACAGTGCTTATTTTTTGGACCCGAAATTGATCGATCCTTCAAGTGGTTTTGATTAATTACACGAGGCTGAGTTTCAAATACCCAATCGGCTAAATCTCGCAAAATAATCTCTTGTGGCACTAATCTTAATTTTTGAGTATGGGGAGAGTTCTCGCCCTTCTGTAACCCGCAAGAGAAAACTGAAATAACCAGATTCTCTGAAACGCGTATTTATGGAGAGTTTAAAATACTTTACCGTTCCCTCAGGTCGCCCACCAGGATTTTTTAAGTTTTCCAGCATTTTAAAACCATACAAATTGAAAATAAATAAATGAAATTGTTCGAAATTGGTGAAAATGAGAGTGCCTGTGGGTGATTCAGTTTTACATTTTAAAATTGCTCAATGTAAAATTTTAGAAATCTTTCCGTGCAAATATGTACATCGAATTATTCTTAAATCTGAAATGTTTGTGCAAATTATCAGATCCATACCTTAATTTGAATGTAAATCGTCTCTGTACGATTATATATAGATACATATATAGATTTATAATACAAATAGGGCCATATTTGCCTCAGAAAAAAACATCGAAATAAACCAAATAAGATTTATATATGGGTATCTGTACAGAGGCAAAAGCAACATTTTTGTTTTGCAGATCTTCCGCTGTATCACATTCGCACGAACATAGCAAAGCTTTGCTCGATATGAAACAAAAACAGGGACGAAAACGAATAAATGGTACATAGGAATGCTCAAATTAAAATAAAGCCTACAGCGCGGCAGCGATGTTGTTGTTGATAGTGTGCATGAATGAATGAATATGCAACAACGTTGTGTATGTATGTACAGAGGCAAAGAGAACATTTTCTTTGCAGATCTTCCGCTGTATCGCTGCCCTGCAGCAAATCAAACTGGTTCTGAACTTGCGCTGAGCTAGCCTGAAAAGGGACGGTACTGGTTCTTCATCTATCCCAACTCAATGCTTTCAACTGTCTTTTTTAACATGGCGATGTCCTACGAAGTGACAATTTTCGCCCTCTGCAGAACTTTTGAACTTGTTCTGAGCTGACTCTGGCTTAGATGGTTCTCAAGGCGCATCCATACAAGGTGGTGGCAATTGCATATAAGTAAAAGTCCCGTGTACTTTCCCTGCAGCAAAATTTTGGACAGTCTGGCAAAGCACTAGTTCCGCCCTACAAATTTCAGAACTGTCTCTGAACTACTGCAAAAGGGATGCAGAGCTGGACGGTTGAAACTCATATGTTGCTAGTTGCGCTGTCATCAATATTACTCATCCTGGTCATGTGAAAGCTGACAAAAGATGCACAAATGTAACATGTAATTCGTTACATAGTTTATGGGGCAACTGCTAAAATATCTCCAAAAAAGTCGTTATTGGTAACATTAATGTAATTTTTATACATATCTACGTACGTATAAAATTAAACGCAAAATATAAAATTTAGTTAAGCTACACTTAACAGCAAAGGTCCGCGTACACCATTTCTTTTTTAAATATTCACTTAAAACTTATACAAAACAAAGTTAAATTTAACGATTTTTCATCAAAATTTTGGAACTTTTAATCAGATTAAATCTCACTTTGAAATGGGGGTGCTATTGTTATGAACGATGCGATATATCTGAGCACCCGAAATGTGTAGTTATGCAGTGATTTTTTTTAATTTCCAAGGTTTTTCATTTTAAATATTTTTGGTTAAGTTTTTATTTAAGTACTATGTGTCATACTACATAAACCATTTAAATTCAAATTCCTAACTGAGCTGCAAATTTGATAGAAATCTAAAAACTGTCTTCAAATTTTAAACTTTTTAATCAGAGATTTTTTATTATAAATATTTCGAGTATTCTGTTTTGTAGCCCATCGAGTTTTACTGTAGTAACATGTAATCTTGCATCTTAAACGAAAATATTTAAATAGGAGAATACCTTCAAGAGCGTGCGTTAAAAGAGTTATATAAAATCAGCGCGATTAATTATACGAAAAGTTAATGGGCTATAGAACTGCATGCTTATAAACTCTGATTTAAAATATTGAAGTTTTTATAACAGTTTCTAGAATTCTACTAAATTTCCAACATAATTAGAAACGTCAATTTATATGTTTATGTTATAATGCTTATGAGCCATCCTTATATAAAAAAATTTAGCATGAAAACCATTGTGAATATTTAAAATTCTATATGTTCTTATTAGATGCCTGGGAGTCTATGTATTACATTTCAATACATTTAATACAATTTAACGCTGAGTTATCACAAATAAGCATTTTTTAGATTTTAAATTATAAGTATCCCAGAAATACCCATTATACGTAACAAATATAAATTATTTTTAAGAATAACGGTTTTAGAAAATGAAGGAATAATTGGCACTTTATGTTCCAAATTTTTAAGCACATTGATGACAGCGCAACTAGCAACATACGAGTTTCAACGGCCAGCTCTGCATCCCTTTTGCAGTAGTTCAGACACAGTTCTGAAGTTTGTAGGGCAGAACTAGCGCTTTGCCAGACTGTCTCTAAATTTTGCTGCAGGGTGCCTTCATGCACACCAACGTAGCAATGCTTTGAACGATATGAAACAAAAACAGAAACGAAAGCGGATAAATGGAACCAAATATTTCGAAAATGGGTTAATGAATCTGAAATCTGAAAAGTTTGTGCAAAGTTTCAGATCGACCACTTTAATTTGATGTATGTATAGTTTGTCTCTGTACGACTTGTAGATCGCTGGGAAAGAAGCGCCTTGTTTCAGAATAATATATAGATTAGACACATTACAACTATACATAGGTACTAGGGATGTTGCGAATGTGGAATTTTAGACATCCGCGGATGCGAATGCGGATGCGAATATCTAAAAGCTAACATCCGCGGATGCGGATGCGAATGCGGATGTCAAGTATTTTTAAGAAACAGTTAGAATCTACCATAATGACGAGATCGTTGTTTAAACAGCGCTTACAAGCCAAACCAGATGTGTCAGGTTTTTCTAAAGCTTTTTAAAAAGAATTCTTCATTCTCATTCCCTTGACTGTAACTTTATCAGCGTTTTTCGATTTTAGTTTTTGTAATTCATTTTTAATACTTTCTTCTGCGACTGGTTTGAACAATTTGTGCTTATATCGAGCTAAATAGGTGGAAAATAAATTATTGTTTTCCAGGAATGAAAATTTTGAATAAAATTCTGTTTTCAAAGTCGTGGCTGTCAGCCGAAT